TGAGTTCACCCCAGAGGGTCACCGGCAACCATGCGCTACCTTCCTTCTGCCTTGCAGTTAGCACTTGGATGTGCAAAGGCTAGAGATGCCGCCTGGACCCAAAGCCGAGTGACTCTGAGGACGTTTCCTGTACCTAACTCCCAAGAAATTTCATGGATATTAACTTAATATTCGTGAAGCCGGCTTATGCTCTTCCATGAGCCAGCCGCCATAAAAAACTACCCATGATGTTTGAAACATGCAAATCTGACGCGGTTAGGAGTGATTGTCGTAGAATGGACCACCGTCCGTGACCAGATACCCGCTCCACAGAAGTCATTTTTAAATCAATAATGAAAAGCTCCTTGAGCGACAATCGACCCTTCTTTGTTTAGACCCACTTCAACCACACAATTGAGCAATACTGTTTTTCGTTGCGCGTTGGATACCAGTGGTCTCACCAGAAGCATTTGCGATTTCGATGGATACTGTCAACTTGTCTTCATGCCTCAACCAAATCGGTTTCATTTTATGCGTATCCAAGGGGAACGCCTCTAGAGGGAGTTGATTGGACAATTAGTTCACCTCGAAAATGTTCCAAGCAGGCGGAGCACCGCATTCTGTCTGCATGTCTCCATCACTATCAGCCATTCTTGTAAGTTCACTCCTTTCCCCTTCATTCGTTAGCTTCGATGGGTGTCTGACGGGCAGCAACAAAAACGAAACTGGGAAGTTCAAGAATAACGTTGGTACAAATTGGAACTAAAAAACACTTCCTGTTTGCTTCTGACAATAACCTCACTTGACACCCACTTGATCTGAATAATCATACTGATTACATCGAGAAAATTCTAATAGACCGGAACAATGCTGTCTCGGTCTGCAAAATTCCGTTAAAGCTAAAATGAGATGCTTCTTTTACCAACCGTGTTGTTCTACAGTGCCTTTGTAACGTGATCATAATGTTCAAGTTCTGAATCAGTGTGCTCAGCACTCCCTTCTTTTGTGTTTCCGCTGACAGAAATCCACGTCGATACCATGATTCCGATCNGACGTCCAGCGGAACGATGGTGCCTTCTGAATACGACCTGTTGCTGACCGATCCCGGTAAGTGAAATGGATTTTGTCAACACGACCCCCGATTGCCTAAAGAGTCCAGTAGTAATTTGACACATTGGAGGCTTTTTATTTCATGTGATACAATGTTTCACACAATCAGTGGTAGACAGATTATCTCTTTGGTCCAGATCGATACCACAAATCTCATTTTTATTTAACATCTCAAGTTTTAGTGCTTTAATAGCTTACTTGTATGTAAAAGAAATACTGAATTTTTGTGACTATATTGCTCATCTCTACTGCTCTTAGCACAATAAAGTATCTTCACTGTCCTTCATCGTTTCTCTCTTAAGGTCTTTCACATGATACCACGCCGCTAGAGCAATCAAGAAAGCTTCCCGTAAATATTCAGACTATGAGTTAAAATGGTTTAAATTGAGCATTTAAATGTAGTGAAAAGTAGCAGCTTTGGAACCCAGATCCACGATAACTTGTTGTCCAATAATGGAGCCCGGTAACGTAGGCCTTGAGATTTAACATGGTGAACCATCAGTCCCAAAATGGGGACAGACTTGGAGTAAAACCGGACAACAACAGAACTGTCGACCGTATCACAACCGAAAGACGACGTGCCGCGAAAAGTTAACCGTCCCTGACGCGGAACAAACCACATTACCCTGATGCGAGACGTTTTGGCAGTCAGTAAGGTGTTAATCATCCGATTACACTATCCCGTTTTGTGCGCTGCACAGTCAGCGACGCAGTCAGTTTTTCTTGCTTCGGAGAGTTGACCTTTTGTTTCTTATTTGCGTTGCCCTTGTCTATCTCTGCGCGTCCGTACACTAACAGTTACCACTTACACACACACACATATATATACCTTTTTTAATGTCAGAAGAATAAACGTAATGCCAACATATTGTGACATTTGTCTTCTTGCGGCTTCTGTACGATCGATAGTGGAGGTAAAGTTATCCAATTTTCTAAAACTGAAACTCCCTACCATCATATCGATTTCGAAACCGGTCAAATTCATCTCACGCTTGTAACACTTCAGAGGCAATTCATTGTGACGGGAAAGAAACCAACTGCTGACAGCTTTGTCTAAAGTTGAGTTTCACGATGATAGCAGACAAAAGGTGCAAACATTTAGCTAAATTTGAAATCGATTCAGATTTATTGATCCGACCTACAGGACACATAGGGAATAACGTGCCACTCATTCATAAAACTACGGTGAAAATGAACACTGTACTGTACACGCCGTTCGCACCTCATATATTGTTATCGATCGATTCCGAATACACTCATGATCAGCTATTGAATATTGCTTGGTACTTGGTTAGTATATCAATGCAAGAGGAATCTTGAAACAGGGAGAAGACAAAGCAGCAACATCTAAGAGCTGCATCGAAACAATTTACAAGTAACATAAACTTGCAGAGGTTCGTGCAATTGCATGCTACCGCTCACCGTGTACAGTACAAATAGTAATGCTTCTCCAACTGAGAGCAGTAGCTTGGGTGATTAGACGCTATGTTGCACATTGAGTGCATTGAATCGGAAATCGCATCAGATAGAAGGTTGAGTGACATTACCTGATTATCATGATTTATTTCCCAGGTCTCGTTCGAAGAATATATTAATTGTATCAAACAAGCAAGATGATGAATTTGCCCACTTACACCTCCTGATTGAAAGTATTCGGGAGTTGCTGGTGAGATAAGTTTGTGCAAGAAATGAGACAGGATATCCTTACTGCGTGGCAGCACTCCGAAAACAAAATAACTTCTAATCTTCTGGTACCAATACTTAAACGATCCTCGTAAGCGGCACATTACATGGACTTGAAGTGATACAGTATCATAGAAGTGGTCATTACCGTGGGTGTTTGCACCGATCGTCTGCTTGCAACCTTACCTGTATCCAATCAGTAACAAGGCATTTTCATTCGGTCTCATCCTGTATCGAAGACAGGTGATTAAATAAAACAATTTGGAGTGCTTTTTGAAAACGCATTATGTACACAGCATCAGTCATCATTGCCCCGAAGTGACATGTATGCCTTACAAAGTTAAGCCTGCGGTTCAGTGACCTAATCCATACCAGACCATTGTCTTTCATCATTCCGTGACGATATAAGCACCGTAATCGTTTCGAACTTATTTTTGCTCCCTTGCATTTCCTCCTATTCCCTCTGCATTTCAACAGCTTACTTCACAATGAACTATGAATCGATTGTTCGACGGCAATTTGTATGCTGCTTCATTGTCCAAGACATCCACACCGTATCCGCACATACTGGATTTCGTGAGAAGATGTCCGCTTATCTACAACAACCAGGTAGCCCGTCCTACCGAGCCCGGGTAAGATAAAACACACGAACATGTTCCTTGCCACAGATAAATCGTTTCGTTGCGAATTTCATTGGTAACAGTTAGTTCGATACTGTCATATCAAAGTTTAAGGAATATGGGAATGTTTGTTGACGCGTAAGAAAAGCGGGCAGATGCGTTTGTGTTACCATTTACGACATTCAATCACACGATAACCACGGTTTAGTCTCGTTTCGAAGATACCTAATGGCACATCAAACGCGACCGAAATCGTTCAGTTCACCATTTGAGGTCTTCATACTTTCACTTCCCACTATAGTCCACCACATGCCCGAGCAAACATTGCACGCTGTTGACTGCTGTCCAAAGACAAACCGTGATCTCCGATTTTGCATGAGAGCGATCACCAAATTCCTTCAGTCTCACTTCTGCACTGCTCGTTCAATGTCTCTAACTGACCGGTGTAATTTTACTGAGATCGTGGTGTTAAAACCTCGGCAATAGGCGTTTCCATTCTGCACGTACTGAAAATGACGTAGTCCCGTACAGCTAATCCGATCAAATTGTTGCGACGTACCATCAACCATGTGCTGACTATTTTACAAATGTTGCTGCACTACTGAGTTGGTTCTCGAACTGTCAGTGTTTGAACACCGCTGTCTGCGTTGCATTGCACCAATCTGGTGGGAAAACCGAACGAGGAATGCCGTGAATACATGAAAAGTTTTAGGTATCCGCGGTCATCCACTAAAGCAAGTGGTTGACCTACATAGTTTGTCTTGGCTGGGGCATGTGTAACGCATTTCACCAAATAGGTTGCCATAACCCTCGATTTTTATCAAGGCAGACAGTGGGTGGAACAAAACCAAGAGTGATCTAAAGAAGACCAGGCAAGAGAATATGGAAACACTAACCACAGGACTCGACCACATAGGTCGTGTTAGACTCCATGGCTAGGGACCTCGGGATGATCGTA